CTGCTGCTGCTACTACTACTAATACTTCTTCTTCTTCTTCTACTACTACTACTACTACTGCTACTGCCACTACTGCTACTACTGCTACTCCTGCTACTACTGCTACTCCGACGACTACGGCGACGACGACTACTACTACTACCACCACCACTACCACTGCCTCTACTGCTCCTCCTCCTCCTCCTCATCCTCGTCTCCCTCCCCCTCCTGCTCCTCCTCGTCCTTCCCGTCGTCCTCAACCTCGTCGTCCTCCTCCTCCTTGTCCTCATCCACCCCTCCTCCTGCTCCTGCTGATGCTGCTGCTGCTGCTGCTGCTGCCACAGCGACACGGTAGACTCAAGCAAAGCAGCCAAGAGGAATGTGGAGAGCAAAGATGTAGAAACACCTTCGCCTTGGAGGGGGCGACGGTGCAGCGGGTTACAGGGTTGTTGAAGGCGATGCGAAGCGAGGTCTTTCTTGTGTGCCGTGGAGGTTAGAGCTTCGGGGTTTCGATGCTTAGGACGAATGGCTCTAAACCCTATCCACCACCCAGAACGCCCGGAATCTTTGGTTCAGCTGTGGACTTGTTGCCAAGGTTCAGCAAGTATTTCGCCAACATTTGCGTATGGCAGTTCGCGTTGAAACAACCGATGCGAGCCCGACCCCCCGCCCACCCCCAGCTAGAAACAACACTACACGTACCCGCATTTCTGAATGACAAACTCACAAAGACACAGGCCAAATCACCAAAAAACATGCTGAAACATATGCGTGAAGAAGGGTTTGGAAGGACCAGCAAAAAACACATTGACTCAAACATGATGCGGTAGAACAGCAATTGCTTGAGATGTTGCTTCGGCCTAACAACCGTGTACTGGATTAGAAGATCCCACGGCTTAGCCGGGATGGCAAGCCTCCGCTTTCCGGGGTGCTTCGGTTGCGAAGGCAATGAAGCTCGCTTAGGCTGGAGGGTTTAGGGTTTGGAGTTCAGGGCGCAGTTAGACTAGGCTGTAAGATTCACGATGTAGGGCTTGGGGTTGAATCTTGAAAGCTCAAGGGGCAGTTCCGGGGCCTCGAACTCCCAAACCTGAACCACAAAGCCCCTTATACTGAGTCCCCTAAACCCTAAACCCTACAAAACCCCTAAATCCTAAACCCTAAACTCTATAAACCCCTAAACCCTAAACCCTCAAACTGAGTCTGCTGCCCAGAGCTAGCATGAAGCAGACAGTGACAGTCAGCACGGTGGCCGAGATTAAAGCTGGCACAGGGACAGGGACTCGCGAACTTTCGCTTTGAGGGTTTAGGGCTTAGTTTTTAGGGGGTTGATAGGGTTTAGGATTTAGGGGTTTATAGGGTTTAGGACTTCGGGGTTTAGGGGTTTAGGGTTCAGAGTTCAGGGCCAGTTTGGGGTGTAGGGTTATTAGGGTTCAGGACCCTCCCCAAAACCCTACAAACCCTCCTCAAAGAACCCCCCTTCCAGAATCCCACAGATCCCTTGGTGGATGAAAGTCAACCCTCCTTGTCCTGCCTGTGTTCATGGGGTTCTCTGCGGCCTTGGCCTGCGCTTGTGCCGACACCGGCTTGGGCTTGATCCTTGGGGGCCAAGAAGGGTTTGAGGCTATGGAGGAGGGAGAAAAAGGGCTTTAATGCTGCTACTACTATTATTATGAATTACTATTATTGGTATTATTCTTATTAATAAGAATAATAATAATAATAACAACCCATTTTTGGATTAATAATGATAGTAATAGTAATAAGAAGGACTTGGCGTAGTGATTTGTGATACGGAACCCTGGCGAATGTTACTGCGCTTCCTCACCGCATCTTGTGCGCGAAGGCTGAAAGTCCAGGATGGCGCAGGTGCTCAGCTGGCAGTCCGAAGGGCTCCCGACATCTTCCCAGAGAGCCCAATACCCCTTAATTAAGGAATATACCTTAAATCATAATAGTAAGGCCCCTATAATCTAAGGTATATTCCTGAATTAAGGGGTATTGGGCTCTCTGGGTTGTGGTATGGAAATGGAACGGAGAGTTTTAAAATGGCAACGACCCCCAACACAAATGAGCGATCGAGACCTGCAGGAAACTAACTTCCATTATAGGGTTTCCTGGTATATTGGAGGGTTTCCTGGTATATTGGACCGTAATCATGTAGGACATGATGGCTAATCAATCCGACTCCCGTAGTAGCTGTTTACTTATTAGTGGTATTGCGACCGACCGGCTGGCCTCGTCTCGCTCCCACTTGCTACCCATGCCAGCTGCAAAAAGCGCATTCAACCCGAAGCGTCGTCGATCCTTTGATTCAAACGCCTAGCTGCGGTGTGGGCTGTGGTGGTGGAGGCATCGTCACCTTCAGCTCCGTGCGATGGCGAAGCCGGCTTAGGATTTACTATGTCTACGGGCTTAGGCTTCGGTGTCGGCTTTAACGCTGCAGGCATCCCTGATCCCTCGACAATTCAACGTCCTGCGGCTTCAACGGCAGCCGTTGCCCCTGTCGTAGACTTCAACCCGTAAAGAGTTTCTGGACTTCTTGCTCACCATAGTTCTGGTCCATGAGGCCCCCACATTGTTGCCGCCGCGGCAGCAAACGATGCTGCGGGACACGATGTCACCAGCCTGATCCGGATCCAGGCTGACCGGGTTCAGGGTCCAGGGTTCAGAGGCGAACAAAGGAAGGTGTAGGTCAGATTCATTTTTTGGCGTTCTAGGAGGGCATTTATGGTCAGGGGTGCTCGGATTGAACCCGAATTCAGCTTGAGAGTCTCTGCCGGTCTCAAGTTGCGTGCCCGCTGCTCCAGGGCTTGAACATACAGACTTCGGAGTTGCGGCTTCGAGCTTACAGGGCCGGCGGGCGTTAGGGCTTTTCTTAAACTCTCGGCTCTTCAATTTTCTGGCCCTCAAAATCACTCACCCGAGGTCCTCGCAAACCCGACCCCCACACTCCGAAAGTTTGGACCCGAAGCGCGCCCCAGCCCATCCCTTTCTGCCGAGTCCTCGCCCTTGTCCAGAGCTCCGTAGAGGCTGTCCAGCAACGCGGCTGCCTTGCCTGCAGACGGTTCGTGGTTTCAGCACTAAGACTTTGGGATTTGGGCCTCGGTCCGATGATTGTGTTACAGTTATTACAGTAAGGTTCAGGATGAGGCATCCCGACATGATAGCAAATGCCACTGTCAGCTTCTTAGTGCTTCTTCTGCACTAGCACCACGCATGGGGTCGAGGGTTCACGGCCGACGTGTCTTGTGGGCGCTCCGCGTGCGATCACGTGGATAAGTTGATCTGGCCAAACATCTCAACAGCCCCAGATGCGCAAGCTTCCACAAATCCCTGGTAAGACAAGACAACTTTGAGGGTGAAGTCTTGTGCTCACTTGTGACTAACTCCATGGGCGCTTCTATTGTAGAACTTGGGTCTTTGGGTTGCCTTCTCTGTCATACATGCTCAAACGTCATGCTTGCTGCTGCCATTCTCATGCACGCAGATTTGGCTTTGCTGATGCTCACCTTGGCTTGGAAACGATGGTTGTCTTCTGTTGCCTTCAACGGCTAACAGGATCGTGGCACTGACCTTCAGTGATGCTGTGACTCGTAAGTCATTCGTAACAAAGGTCCTAAGATCCTAGTACTTACTTACCACAACGAAAAGTCATTTCCAACTCATGCTGTGAGTCGTAGCAGCAGCGGCACCAGCAGCAGTAAGCGGAGGCGGTGCCACGTGGTTGTTGTGGTTGTGGTGGCCGTGCTGGTGGCAGTGGTGGCAGTGGCGGCAGCGGTGGTGGCGGCGGCTTGAGTGGGGCAGTCCGACAATGTAGTCCAGCTACATTACGGTGAACATGATGGTGGTGGTGGTGGTGGTGGCGGTGGCGGCGGCGGCAGCGGTGGCGGTGGCGGCGGTGGCGGCGATGGTGATGATCATGCTGATCAAAACGATGATCACGACGTTGACGATGCTGCTAGTAAGTAAGGATGTAGCTATCACTCCTTCATCGTGGACACGTCTGTCGGGAACCCAACTCAGAATAAACCCCCACGCCGGCCGGTCCTTTGTCGTGGATGTGCTTCAAGAGGTTGGACATGTTCTGGGCATACATGGCGCTGGCCTGCTTGAAAAATTGATAGGGAATGAGCATTTCTGGCGTAGGAAATAGATGACCCAAAGTGGCCGAAGCCTCCCTCGCCTCGACGGGGCATACAGAATTTCAGCGGGTCTTGTGCTACGGGATCAGAACAGTTTGATCTTGCGAAGCACTCCACGTTGCATCCGAGCAGAGTCTCAGAAGCTAGGGGGTTTGCAGCCGAACTCCTCGAAAAGCAGAAACGACAAATGGCGAGCTGGATCCCCTCTCGCTGCCTGTTCAGGCATGCGCGCTGGCAGGTTCGCATATCCAATGATGGTGACCCCATTCCTTGGCCCAGGCACTCGCAGTCCGCTCCCGAGTAGAAATCAAGAGGGCCGGGGCATGGTGCCTGCATCGTGCAGCTGTTGCTGCAAATGTGGCTCCCTGGTTGAGCCGCTGTTCGAACTCAGGCTCTCAGAAGAATCCTCTGGAATGCAGGGCTTAGCTTTGGAGGATTATGGCCCTTGAACCACTCCCACAGGCCGAAGAGAAGGCAACGTCTGTCAAGCTTCGGGGTGACGATGGTCTCGTTCAGCCTGGGCTGTGCAAGCAGCTGTCATTGGAAGGGGGGGGGGGGGCTACTCACTGACCTATCCCTTCATCTACTCCTCCCAATCTAATCCCTAATCACAAGCTCCAAACCCCACCAACCTCGAGCATGGAGGTTGCTGCCTTTGGGCTACATGCCCAAAAGAAGTGTGGCAAGCTGGACCGATACCACCGTACCGACGGGATGCCAACGACCCCTTCTGCAGCAGGCTTGTAGCACCCCGAAGCTTCAGGCTCAAAGGACTGGGCAGGCTGAGGCAACAGTGGGTTTGGGTGCCCCAAACAAGGAAGGGTGGTTCAATTGAGGTTCTCAAGCGGTAGCAATGTCACCAACTGCCATTGGCAAGCCGCGCACATCCCCAATCACAAGTGTATGATCACAACCTCACACAAAATCGCAAAAGCCAGTATGGCCAGCAGGCAAGAGGAGCGCTGATGGTTCGAATAGCAATCCGAGGGAACCCTGAAGCCGAGTTTGTGTTTGGGCCTCTCTTTTTGGAGCGAGCTGAACCAGCAAACCCGTACCAAACTCTGACTTCCTATGAAGCAGAAGCAACTCACCCAACAAGGCCTAAACCTCCAAACATCCTTCATCCTTGGCGGCTCAAGCTTAGATCTGATATGGGGCCTTGACCACTAGAATAGGCTGCGGGGGTATCTTAGAGAGTATATTCTACTACTGTAGACTATATTTGTTACCTATTAAGCATGTATAATGCAGGGACTACAGGTGAATAATGTTGCTAAGTATTCAGATGCCCAGCAGCTTTGTCAGCTCACAGTTGCCACCACCCACAGCTGCCAAGTCCACGACTACGCTGCCCGGCTTCATGACAGCCACGGCATCCTTTTAGGGTTTGGGGTTTAGGGGGAAGCGCTGAAAGGACTTGACTATCTTTGGCTGAGGGTTTAAGAAGTGGCCCGCGGCTCGACTGCCGCTGTTACTGCTACTCCTTGTCCTCACGCTGCTGCTAGCAACACCACCTCCAGAACGACCAGCATATCTGCTGATGATGCCGACGACCGATGAACTACAGTAACTACAGATGCTCACATCCTGGTCCTGACCCATCAGCCACACGACCTTCCTCCCTCCTCTCGAAACCAAGCCCCAAAAACACGAGCCTTGGTGATGAGGAGGGGGCTCGGGCGCCCCGGAATGGCGGCAGTGCTGATGGCGATGTCGCACTCCTCCGGGGGACAGACAGAGATTCCTTGTCCATTAGGGAAGACCCCGAACCTTACAGAGAACGGACGGGCGTTGAGGTCTTTAGGATTTCGGGAGGGTCTGCGACGTCAGGGTTAAGTCGAGGAATGTGTTCTTTTGTTGCGAGTCTCTACTTCAAGAGATAAGACATATGTGGGAGTGTCAGAAGATCGTAGACTAGACAATTATAAGGACCTTAATGAAGAACCCCGATCCTCACGGTAAGGAATTATAAATGCGCGCTCCTGAGCTTCTCCACCACGCCCCTTAAAACAACACCCCTTACGGAGTCTCCCGAACCCACAAATGCGATCTAACCCTGATAGATCTAACCCTGATAGAAACCCTTTATAACCCTTCTAGAAGCCCTATAAAGCCCTTCTAGAAAACCCTTGTAGAGTCCCCCACTGCCTAGCAAAACCGAAGCCCGTCTCCTTGAGGACCTGCTTGAAGGTCTCCTGCTGCACCTGCAGGGTAGGGGCTCAGAGTTTAGGGTTTGGGGTTGAGGGTTTTTCGGTTTAGCGAATGGCACCGGGTATGGCTCCAGGTCGCTTGGAACACTGGGTTTGGATTTCAAGGGTTCGCGGAGCAGTAATATGTTCCTTGATGGTCCCAATATAGTCATATCGCGATATGCCCCCGAACCGCACTATCCTGATCTGGATCTTAAGCCCCAGCTCGAAACTGCAAGACCCGACATCTAGGCTTCACCTAGGGCTTCAGGGGGTGACATTACTCTACGCTAAATTCCCACCAGAATTCCGGAGAGGAGGCCCTGGCGCCTTCTTGAAAGCGTCCGAGGACTCCTTGGCGTAGCCACCTTGGCCCTCACCAGCCTCCTTGAAGTCCACCTTCACCCACTTTGCGCCCATGGAGTGCACCTGTGACGGGTTAGGGGCGGTGATGTCAGAGCAACAATCACGACAACATCCCAACAATGAAAAAGCGGGCTCATCCGCGCCATCATTACATTACATCATCAGCAGCATGACCATCACTATAATGTACATCACCATCGCTACCATGAGCAGCAGCGGCGTCACCATCGAAAACAAGCAGGAGGTACTAAAGCCGAGCAGCAAGTGCTGGGTGCTCACTACTATCTGCAGACGGCAATGAACTTTGCTTCTGCACATGTCTATGAACACTGGCATAAACAAATGCTCCACGTCATCCAGTTGGTGCACCGCAGACGTGGCATTCATGAGAAGACTGCAAACAACGGACTTGGCGAGAGTGAGTCGTGGCAGATGATACAAGTAACAAAAATCTAATCACTGTAGCAACAGCAAACCAAAGGAAATCTAATGAAAACCATCGCTGCCAGCATCAACGACAACATCTTCTTTTTCTTCGCATCATCACCACTGCACCACCAGCGCCATCATCAGCGACAACACCATCATCAACATCACCATCAATAATAGCTAATCTTCCAACAAAACAGGCAAAAACGTGATGCTTGCCCCCAGCAATAATTGTGTTAGTATTGGTCAATATCATCGTCACGCAGGGCTTCAATGTTTTGTTGGCGCCCACCTGGTCAGAGACGTCTCGCACGTCCCATGCTCGCACCTGGGCGTATCTCAGGCGGCAGACTACGCTAACCCCTTCAAACCCGAAGGTAGACGCGAAACCCCGAAACCCCGAACCACCCAGTGTAGACCCCTTTCAAAGACTTGAGTCCCTTATCGAAACTTCTTAGAGCCCTGACAGATCCAGCTTATGCGATCCTTCTGCTTGTAGAACCCCAAACCCTACACCCTAAACTCCTAACATCATAAACCCCTAAACCCCTAAAACCCCTAAACCCCAAAAAACCCTAAACACCTAAATCCTAAGTATCCGGGGCACCACGGATCCCAGAGCCTTGGAGGAGCCGATGGCCGCAAGCCCGGCCACGCCGCAGCCAAGGACGAAGGTCTGGGCAGGCCTCGGGCTCGAAGCTTTAGGGCTTGGGGTTTAGGGCTTAGGTTTCCTTAGGGTTTAGGGCTTCGAGCTTAGGGCTTCGGGTTGAGGGTTTAGGGCTTAGGGTTTAGGGTTTCGGGTTTAGGGCAACTTTAGGGGTTAGGGTTGTCGGTGCCTTAGGGCTTCTAGAATTAGGTCGCCGCTCCTTCTCTGTTTTGAGGTGGCGAGGTTCGGGGCCTTTGCAGGTTTTTCGGCTTTATGGTAGGCTTTGGGGGATTCAGGGCGGCCTTGGACTCAGTTTATGCACGGTCTTTGGGGTCCAAGGCTTTCGCATTTCAGGGTTCAGGGCCTCTGGGCTTACAGGGGGGCCTTGGTCCTTGCGCTCCTGAGATCCGATTTGGAACAGCAGCGTCATGTCAGGACTAGCACGACTGTGAAACACCAGGTACCAGTGATACTGTAGCTAGTACTACGGCTGATGATATAAATCGCGCATTACCCATAATAAGGAATATGCCATGATACAAATTATCAACAGTAGTACTCATACCAGAAACGCCTTGTCCCACTAAACAGTTCAGCAAAAATGGGTCAGCTAAGAGGCGGGTATTTGCCTGCCGCCGTCATCTCGGCAGTGTGGAAGCGCTGGTAAGAGTGTGCCTTGGGAGCTGCGCAAGCTGATGCCGATGCCCGAGCAGCAAGCACATTGAGACATCAAACCTGCCAACTCCAAACCTTAGATGCTACAACTATGGCTCTAACTCGAACCCGAAATCCCGAAAATCGTTGATTTGGGAACTCTAGTGGCATCGTGGGAAGTGTGGGTGTAGGATTCAAGATTCAGGATTGAAGGTCTTCAGGTTTTGAAAAAGCGTTTTCAAGGGTTTTAGATGGATGCCGGATCAAGCTTGCTGTCGAGCACAGGAACCCTTTCTGATTCTGCAAAAGCCCTAATCCCTAATTCCAAGCCCTGACCGCAAAACCCTGAACCAGCACCCTACAGAACCCTCCTACAAGTAGAACCTTCATCAAACCCCGTGTAAATCGCCAAAGCAGCCCTCTTACGGCTTCCCCAAATCCAGGCCGGGTTACCGCTTCCAGCACGGCCCGGTGCCCAGCCACTTTGGCCTGGGAGCTAAGCACGTCCAGCCTCGGATACCGAAAGGCGCCTGTGGCTTCAAGGGATTGGGGCAGGGGTACTTCAGGAAGCTTAGGAGTCCAGGAGCTTCAGGGTTGGGGACGTAGGGGTCGGGCCACTATTGTGGTTTGATGACTCTTTCAGGGGGTTTGGGGTTAACCCTGAACCGGCTCACCGCGTGAACCCCCAAGCCAGTCCCGGGCCATGGCCTACACAGTTCTTAAGCGAAAGCCGTGGAACTTCTGGGCGATGGTGATGCGAGGGACCGCAGTGACCTGAGCCAGCTCGAGACCCGGGCAGCAGAAAAGCTCCCACATCCTGGAATCCTGAAGCCTCAAATCGACGAAACTTCCGGTCTCTGTGGAGTCTGGGCTGTTAGGGTTTCGGGCTCTGAGGAGAGGTGGTCCCAGTGAGAGCTGCTATCTCTTTCAGGTTCAGCTGTCATGAGGCCGGAGTCTCCAACTCCTGGGCTTTACTGTACATCGGTCTCTGCAGCCGAGCGGCGTCTATCACTGTGATGCGGTACTGGTTTGCCTTTTGGATGATGTCCTCCAGAAGACTGTGGGCTTCAGGACTGAAAGAACTGTAATTTGCATGAGTATTCCGTTAAGAGCTCGGGTAAGAGCTCGTGTGGTGGAGGGCACAGGCAGCAAAGGTGCTGTGTACAGTGTCGCCGTATCTGAATATGAGCCTTGCGACATACTAGTGACATGCAGAATTGTTCTCTGAGCGCTCCCCCGACCTGTTGAATGAAGCCCGAGCATCTATACATGCTTGATCTCGACACCCTCAGCGCCCAACCATCTAGTGTAAACGCTACCCCAAACCCATCCCTTATGATGTCTTCAAAACATAAACCTCAAAACCCACTGCCCCAAACCCTCAGGCCCCACTACCCTGAACTCTAAAGTCCCAAAGCCAACTTCCTGGGATCTAAAACCCCCAAAACTCACTCCCTCTGACTCCTTGCCCTTGTCTTGCAGACGGCCAACCCAAGAGACCAACACCTGCAGGCGGCAGTCAACGAAGGTTAACCTTTGGGGTTTAATAGTAGGATAATAGTAGCCACAAACAGGTCAAAGGTTGCCGACTCGACTACCAAGCAAAGGAAGGCCCTGGGTTTAGAGGTCCGTCTAGTGCTTCTTGCGGTTATGGGTTAAGTCGGCTACGGGTCCTAGGTTTAAGTTTAGGGCTTCCGGGGTCTTGGTTGTTGCGGCTGAGTCTGTAGTATTGGGGTGGGGTGGGGGGAGGGGGGCTCGAAATGCAAAGATCATCTGTTTTAGGGATTCCGTCGGAAGTATTGACTTTTCGGATCTTCCCATGTCAAGGTGCTATAGCCACTATAGGACCGAGGGATTCAGGTTCATCTCGGGGTCTCAAGGTTCGGTGAGGATTTGGCGTTTCAATCAGGTGTGAAGCTTCGGGGATATTGCAAGGCCCGTACTCCTAAGTGCTTAGGCCATGGGGCCAACCGCGAACCAAACAAGCCCAAATCCCAGTCTTCAGGGCTTCTTCGGCTTGCTTGCAAGATTGTCGTTATGCGGGGCTGGCCTACAGCATGCAACAAGGCTGTTACCGCATGAAACGAAGAAAAAGATCAAGGCATCAGGATGCTCATACATACATATTCATTACCTTTAACAAGGGCTTTACTGCGTCAACCTCTAATTACCATACCTAGGCCACACAGGCATGTCAGAAGAATGATACAGACATGGACAGTGAATAGGTGAATAGCCCTAGTGGTAACGAATAGGACTGAGGGGAGCTATGATTCAAGCCAATGGAAATACTTTGCTAGCAACTGTATAGAAATGAGTCTGGCACGGGCCTTGCAATTCATGATCGAGAAGTCCTGCACCGGCGCCTCTAGAGCGAAGAGAACCTGGCGGCACTGGTCGAGGTGTTTGGCAATCGAGGCTTTGGAACTACGGTGTCGAAACACAACCCTAAACCCTTAACCCTAAACCCCTAAACGCTTAACCCTAAACCTAAACCCCTAACCCCTAAACCCCCTACCCTGAGCCCTAAACCCCTAAACCCTAAACCGTGGAGCGGCCCGCAGCTCACGCAAGCGCATCAGCCAAGCAGGCTTAGCCGTGAGCGGTGAGTCAGCATGAGCTCACCAGACTTCGCCCTAACTGAAAGACACTAAACCCCGATGCTCGAAAATCCGAGCCCCCAAACCCCCAAAAAGCCAAGAAAAAAACCCAACCCACAACTCCACCAGCAAAAAATTGCTACCAAAGAGCCCAAACCGCCAAAACCACCCGAAGCCCTGGGACCCCCCGAAGGATTGTGAAGCCAAAACCCCCCCCTAGAACCCGACTCCCTGAGCCCCAGGGCTCCAAGAGACGAGGACGAAGCCAAACCCACCAAACTCTGAGCAACAAGTTTTGGGCTTTTGGGGTTTAGGATTTTGGGGTTTTAGGGTTTTAGGGTTTTAGGGTTTAGAGCTTTTAGGGTTTAGGGTTTTTGGGTTTAGGGCGTCAGGGTTTAGGGGTTAGGGAAGGTAATTCGATCAACCCACCAAGAGCTAGAAAACTCAAAACCAAAGAAGATGGCCCGAAAACCCAACATTGCACAACATCCTAAACCCCAGAAGCAACACAACAAAAACACGCCGATCCAGTCAAAGCAAACCCCAACACAACCCTAAGCCCAACAGCCGAAAAGCAAAAGCCCAAAAACCATAAAGCCCCAAAGCCTTAAACCCCAAAAGTGTCCTTCACCCGAGCCCCCCAAGCTTTGAGAGGGTGCCTGGGACTTTTCGATCACATTTCCCCTGGATTCCAGCAGGCAGCCCTTGTCAGCATATGCCTGGGTTTAGGGAATTAGTATAGGGTTCAGGGATTTATGGTTTTTGGATGCGGCCTGGGATTCGGATAATTATGCAGCTTGGGATTCGGAAGTGCCGTCTGGGATGAAGCCGGTGAGAGCGCGAGCAAACTTGAGGCTACGCCCTGCTGGGTGCAACCCTAACACCTGTAACACCCTGAAAGCCTCAGCCTCCTCCTGAAACCCAACGGCTTTTCTGCAAGCAGCTCCCAGGTTTAAAGTTGCAACCTGGTGGCCTGGTCCGAAAAGCCGGCGTAGACTCCAGCACCTGTCAGTTTTCGGGATTGAAGGCTTTGGGCTTTGGTACTTCAGGCTCCGAGCCTCTTGCTGCAGCGCTCTCTCCCAACCAAAACACCCTTAAGGAGCCAAAAGCCGTGTCGTGGCCAACAGCAGGTCCTGCCTTTCTCCACGTACACTGCGTATCCGTCCTGTCAAGACCGAGGCAGTCTGAGGCGACGGTCGAACGGTTGGTTCCCCGACATCGAAGAAAGTTAAGCCGAGGCACCGGATGTTGAGAATGCTTGTGATGCAAGTTTGAGGATTTACGGAAGGTCATTGTTAGAAAGTCTTCAGGATTTGTTACTTAGGGTACAGGTTTTCACTGTCTTCCAGGATTTCAGGGTCGGCAGCTCGGGATCTGCTTTGTATCATACGCTTGTGAAAGAACCAAGCGAGGACCGCGACTTAGGGTTCCGGTTGTGTGTGTCTTGGGTCTTGGGGGTGGCAGTGCAGGAGCAGCCCTGCATTATTCACTCATCTTGACTCCGAAGAAAACCCAAAATAAGTACTGCAACACGTGTGTGTGTGTATATATATATGTATATGTGTGTATGTACATAATTAGTATGCATGCATGCATGCACGAATGCATGCATGGATGTATGTATGTATACCAAAACAGCCCACCCCTACTGCCCACCGCATTACAGGGCTATGGTGTAGTCCTCCCCCTCCCAAAACCGCATCTTGCCTTCATCAGCTGCGCCGCCACATCGGGTACCATGCTGACGCGCGGGTCGCCTGGGTTGGAGGTCTCATCCGAGGAGTACTTTTTCTTAATCTTCAGGCCCCAAATGTTAGCCAAGGGCTCCACGGCTTCAGGCTTTGCTCCCCGAACTTGACGCCGAAACCTTAAACGTTGAGTAGTGATTTCCCATTTGGAGGCGTCAGGACGTAAAAATCTGCAAGGGCTTTGCAGAAGCGGCTTCTCTAGGAAGGCGGACCAGCCGAAACCAGCATAGTCCCAAATTTTTCCATAGGTCAGTTTCATAAGTCTCCACCACCTGATCCGAAACCGCATGTGAAAAGGCAGTTTACATTGGCAGAAATTCAAGTAAGCCAGCCACTCGTCTCGGGCATCCAAGCAGCCCTTTGAATTCTTCGCATCCGGGCTGAAGCCCTCGCTCAGCACTCCCAGCACACACCCAGGCTTGGCCTCCCAAGCGTGCAGGGCTCGCACTCCCAGCGAGATATCAAATACAGACATATAGACATAACACACCCAGACCGTCTAGGAAGGGGGGAGAGGGCAGACTTACCGTGGAAAGTCGAGACTCGGAAAGTTCGACCACGTTCGACTAAACGGCTGGGAGGGCTCCCTCGAAATTCGGCAGAGGGTCCGGAAACACTCAGAGATGTAGACCCAACGCCCTCGCAACATGAGGCTGCAAGGTTCGGCACGCAAAGACTGATGCTGCTGTGTTGGTTCTCACACATTGGCCTTACGAGTGTATGACTAGGTCTAGGTTTGCTATTCGTAGCGTCGTCATCATTGCGATCGCCAACATGAGAAGCAGAAGGATCAACATCACCATCACCATCATCAACAACATCGTCGTCACCATCGCCATCATCATCATCATCATCATCATCATCACTCTCATCATCATAATCATCGTCATAATCATCATCGCCAACGTCACCATAATCATCAGCATCGTCATCATCATCGCCTTCATCATCATCATCATCCTCGTCGTCGTCGTCATCAGCATCACCATCATCATCATCATCGTCATCATCATCATCATCAACGTCATCATCGTCATCATCATCATCAGCAGCAGCAGCCTCACCATCATCATCAACATCATCATCAACATCATCGTCAACATCATCATCAACATCATCAGCATCATCGCCATCATCACCATCATCAACAACAACAACAACATCACCATCATCATCATCATCATAATCACCCTGAGTCATCATCATCACCATCATCATCACCATACTCACCATGAGTCATCATAATCATCATCATCATCATCACCATCATCATCATCACCATCACCCTCGTGGTCGTCAAAATCGCCGTCATCGTCAATGCTGTTGTCATCATCACTATCATGCCAGCACAAGACCGTGTTCTCTTGCGAGGCTGCCATTGCTACGGCCATTGCGACCGCTGTTTTTCTTGCTTCTGCTGGCTCTGAGTTCGGCTGGGAAGCCACCACCGACCCTTACGGCGGGACCCTCAAGCAACGGAATGCCGTCGGGACAAGCCGACCGCGAAGTGCTCACTTCCTCCCTTCCTCCCCACACACTCACTCACTCACGCCCTCGTGTCTCTCTTCTTCTCCAGGGCATGGGGAGTCGGTAAGACCCCCCGGCCATTAGGCCCCCCAAATTTCATGGGGTTTTC